GTCTATCTTCCCTTTGCTCGTGTGGATTAGTGTGGCCTCAGCTGTGTGGTCTCCCGCGTTCTGACGATCTCATTCCCCCCTTCCTACTCTTTTTAATGCTCAGTAAAAGAAGAGAAAATGGAGAAGAAGAAGTAAAACGAAGCAAAATCAAGGAGAAAGTGAAAAAATCTCTTTTTTTCTCTTTCTCTGCCTTTGATTTGCTATTTTCTCTTGCTAACGAGCTCAATCGTTTGATTCCATAATGTCTTTTTCTATCCTTTTGAAACCATTTGGAGCTCTTTGATGGAGTGGCGAGCTAGTGACTGGAGTCAGAAGGGACGCTATATCTGAAGCAGCAGAGTGGAAATTTAGGGCTCCAACAGCCAAAGAAGTACCTATCGGCGGGATCTGCATGTGTGACTGAGGAGGATCAAGCCGGACGCTTGGGATCGCTCTCCTGTGTGATGGCGGCGGCGAAGAACACGCCGGCAACTGATGGGATATCGGGAGAGTCCGGTGCCGACGGGTGCTGCCTGCAGAAGTTCAGGCTGTACGAGACCCAATCGGTTAGAGTGCTGGCTCTCGCCTTTGCTAGGATGCGCTTTTTCTGCCTTAATCCTGTATATTTTGTGTTTTTTGTTAGAATCTGTTTTCTTTTAAGACTGTTTAGTGTTGTCTTCATTTTCTCCTCCCAGCCTTCTCTTTTAGCGATTTTCCTTGTCGGTCTTTTGACCAAAGCCCTTTCCTTTGGTGCTTGCTTTTATGGAAAGTCTGGCCATTGTGAAGTTAATCCGATCTCTGTGATCTTCCTTTGTTTTGATCAACCCTTTTTTTTGGCATGAATGGGCATTATTGTTTCAGTCTTTACTCTTTTGTTCTCCCAAGTTAGCTATCTTTTCCATTCTTTGGGGCCTATTCAGTATTGCCAACTATGGCTGCAAATGAAGTTAGCGTGGGACAAATTACTCGTGACTCAGCTCCATTGACTAATCAAACAAGTTCCAACAGTTTTACAAATATTCAGTAGTTAAATAAACAAATTTCAAGGTCGTATTTCTTGATTCGTTTATTATCATGAATAATTTCATTTAAAAGTGATGAATAAGCTTGATTAAGATTTGATATAATACTCGATATTAACAATTGCTAATTTTTTACAATATTTAATTCACAATACAATATATAAAATTAATATCTATAAGAATTTCGGTATTCTGGTATGATGTAGTATTCACAATTAAGTAATTTTGGCATTCTAACATTCACAATTAAGTAATTATAGGCATTCGAATGATTCTATATTCCCACCCATTGCATTGCATAATAATTACGACATTGTATAAGTAGTAATTAATATCAGAATTCTGGTAGCTATTATGTAATTTCCTCCCTCATATAATCCCACTCTCACGGTATTCCTCTCACCCGCCTATTAAGGCTTCGGTTGGGGCGGCTTTCTTACTGCTTCTTAAAATAATTTTTTAGTAGAAAAAATTATATTTTATATCAAAAAACTACTTTAAGAAGCAGTAATAAAGCTGTCCCAAACGAAGTCTTAGTCTTACTTTAGTTGGAAGTTTAAGGTAATAATAATTTTTATATAGTTAGAAGTTGCGTAATAGTATATTAGTTGTGTAAGCTTGCAGCCTTCTTGCCCACATATGGTATTTTGCTTGAATATGCTTCTAAAGTGGTTTAATAAAAATTAAAAAATATATATGTGAAGATTAATTGTACTTATAAAATGTTTGGAAAATTATAATTTCATTTCCTTAAGCTCAAGGAGGAGCTTGATAGGGATCATTTGTGTCTCCAAATGAGCTGCTCGATAAGGCTCATGTAGGTTTTCAAATGAGCTAGATGTTTAAAGCACGATAAGCTCAAATCAAGCTTGAAGAAGCACAGATTTAAATAAAACAAGCTTGAGCATTATCATAAAAGCTCATATTGAGCTTGAGCTGAGCTCAAACAGGCTTTGGGAAGATGAGCTTGTGCACGAATAGCCTCCTGCTTTGCACAACTAGATTCATTTGCAGCCTATTGCCACTCGAGAGAAAAAAAACTTTTATGCCATTATTTAAGTAAACTGTTTGAGGTTCTTCATCTCTCTCTCATGACTACATTTTCCCAACTTATAGAGTTGTAATAAATTTGTTGAATCCTTTTTGGCAATTCAAGCAATATTCTGCTATCATTTATCTGTTTCCTTTGGATGTATTCTATTGCTATGATTAGGATGGACATGTCTGAGATGCTAAACAATTTCTACTTTTGACAATATTAACTGAACCGATATGAATTTGTTTTTTACATTTCTGCAAGCTCAAACATTTTCTCCATCTATCTTTGCAGAATTATACATCTTAACAAGCACGAGTACACCTAGCCATGCATATGTTAATTGACTTGATGATTTGGTAAAATTTGTGTAACTTTCTGATGCTCCTTGCAGACATTTTATATGGTTGGAAGGGACAAGGGTAGAACACTTTGGAGAGTGTTAAAGATTGACCGATTGGAACCTTTTGATCTAAACATACTTGAGGACTCTGCCATGTACTCAGAAAATGAATGCAATGATCTGTTGAAACGCATTCATGAGGGAAATATGTCAACTGGTGGACTTAAATTCGTTACTAGCTGCTATGGGATTGTTGGTATGCATTTACTTCACTAAGGCAATGTCAGGTCAACACAGATTTACCACCATTTGGCCTCCTTCAGAACCTTATGAGACTTTTCTATTTCAGGTTTTGTTAAGTTCTTAGGGCCATATTACATGATGCTTATAACCAAAAGAAGGTTAATTGGTTCTATGTGCGGCTATAATGTGTATGCTATCACCAAAAGTGCGATGATTGCAGTTCCAAATTCTACCGTGAGGTCCAATATGACGATTTCTAAGAATGAAAACAGGTTCTATTATGGCGCTAAATTTTTTATTTAACTTATTCTTTTATGTATACTATAGTGTTACTCGAGTAAAGCTTCACTCCCCAAAAATAATCACACAAAAAATGTGATTAGGCTGTACTTTGCTAAGATGGATCAGTCAACACCCTCCCGATCAAAATATATTTATAACTCTTCTTACTTAGATTGGCCTGTCTAAACAAAATAAAGCATAATCCTATTTATTTGCTTGAATTTAGCAGTATTCTTTTTTGTTCAAGTTATAGAATATTTTTCTTACTAGAATTATTATTTTGGATTTCAAACATAGGACTTTAGCTATGACTTCCAAGATCTTAAACTATTGATAGTCTGTTTTGGACAACTTTTTCACTCTTTGCTTTTCATATCACAACTATAGTTTCGTATGGCTTTTGCTTTCTCGTTGCTTTCTAAAAATTTATGTGACTTGAAGTTACTTTTTACAATTCTAGTAGCTTTGAAAGAAGAAAAGGATTTTGAAATCTAGTGTCTTCTGATGTCTGATCTGCTGCGTGTGATACCCCAATCATTTTTTTGTTAGTTTAGTATTGCTTCTTGACCAAATGTTCAGAAATTATTTTTGTTTGTTGAAGATGCCAGAAACTAGTTTTGTACGTGATTGGTCTATACTTATATTTAATGCTTGTCTTGTAGATAAAGATGAGCAATATCATTATTTGATCTTTTTGTTTACGCTTACCTCATAATAGATTCTGTCATAATTTTTTTTGTAAGCAGCACCTTGATCTTTTTTGTTTAATATTATGTTGTCCTATAATCGTCAGTCCATTATAAGGATCTCACATAATTCTGTTTTCCTATTTCATGGTTTAGATACAAGAGGCTGCTGTGTACTGTGGATCTGACAAAGGACTTCTTTTTCAGCTACTCTTATCCTGTGATGCGCACTCTTCAGAAGAATTTATGTGACTCTCAGACAGGGCAAGTATTATATGAAACCATGTTTGTCTGGAATGAGTTCTTGACAAGAGGGATCCGCAATCGTCTTAAGAATAATGTCTGGACAGTTGCTTTAGTCTATGGTTTTTTCAAGCAGGTATGTGTGATCTCTAAATGATTTTGTCTCACCCCAAAAGCTGCCCAAAATTTTGGCATGATAACAATAAGATGAGGTGCCTATAACAAATGAAAAAATCTAGATAAATCATATACGTCAACAAATTATGCAAGAATTTCCAAAATAAACATATTAGAGCTTACTGAAGTCATTATATCCTCCAAACAACCTGTAAATATTACTACTTCTCACACATTCTTAACCATGCTAAATTTCAAAGGTATACAATTATATCTATTACAAAAAAAAAAGTTCCTAAAGTAAAAAAATTCACATGAATATAAGTTGGCACCACACTACGCAATCTCTTATAGCGATCACTTACTAAGTTATCTAAATCAATTTGAAATGAAAAAGTGAAAATGGGGTTAGTTTACAACTCAGAAGACTAACCATATAGCAGTTATGAGTTAAAAAACAAAAAGTTAATGCATGCCCAAACTATAGGACCGTATAGGTCTAAAAATAAAATCACATGTGGGTATTGATATACAAAAATACTTATAAATATCAAGAATATGTTCTTGGTTCTCCTTGGAGTCCACACACAGAGATGTTACATTCTTTCCATCAAATAAGAATGTGGACCCCAAGTTCAAAATTAGTAGAAAAATAAGCTGTTACCTTAATGTGCAAAAAAAATGATGATGCTTGACACATATCTTCTCTTCAGACTCCTAAGTAGCCTCAGCTACATAATGTGTTCACCAAAGCACCTTTAAAAAAGGGATAGATCATCATCGAAGCTATCAAACTTTATGATCTAGAATGCACTATGGTATTTCCTTATAGTTTAGATCTTCTCAAAGTAGTAGTGGGTCATGTTGAATCATAGAAGATTAGGTAGGAACATATCATCTTAGCAATGACACCTGAAAATTTCATGTATACCAAGTTGTGTAGAAAGAGCCCAATGATATGTAATATTGTCTACATTCTCAATCACTTAAAAAGGTCCAATGAATCTCAAATGTTTCCATTCTATTTAAGTTTGATGATGGCCTTTATAAGTGACACACACTTATAATATATATATGATCTTCAACATCAAAATGAGATTGAGAATGGCAGTCCTATGTTACTATAATGTGCTTTTGATCGAATATTTTTTTCTATCATTCTTTTACCACTATAATGTACTCCATATTTAATCTTCATCCTTTCTATTGCTTCATATATCAATTGTGATCCCATTGGCTTTCTTTCCCCAATTTTAAACTAACACAAAGGCGACCCATACTTCCTACAATATAATTTCTCATAGTGTGCCACAAACTATTAGTTTTAAAATATTCTATTAGGAGAAAAGAGGGATAGGAATGAACCAAATCGCAAGCATAAAGTGGAGGAAGGATATTGGGCTATTTAAGTAAAGTGCTAAGCCAAAAATATTAGACGCTTTTTGGAATAACGGGTGAATTTTTCTT